TTCCTGCTACTCTGTGGCATGCGAGTAGGAGAAGGAGGACTATGGGCTACATGCAGGTGAGGGATAAGCTTTAAAAGTTGTGCATCTGCAGGATGATTGCGTTGGATCGTGGCGAGGACCGTTTGAGATACCAGGAAATCTATTCAGCATCTGGGTTCATTTGGTATGAACAGGAGAATTCCCTGTGCTCTTTATCCTTGACAAAAAAGGCACGTTTCTAACACTTAATTGGATCACAGACAATAAGAATAACCTTCACACATTGCCCTTTTCTCTTTAAATTAGTAGTGATGTCCTGTTTGTTCGTGTTTGCCCAGTGCTTTATCTCTCTTTCTTCCTCGGTTGCAAACATCTGTGCTCTCTTTTGTTTCCCTCTGCCTTCTCCATTTCTCTCCTCTCATTACCTTTCTTTATCTTTACTTTTCCCTTTTTTCTTTCTTGTATTTTGCCTTCTTCCCTGTCCTGCTTGCTCTCTTTTCATGTGATTATTTGGGATGGAAGAGAGAATTTATAGCTCTCACTGGATTCTGTTACCAACTGTTCCACCCATCTGACCTCTCTGGGTCTTGCAGTCCATGACTCCATGCCAAATTGTAATGTTACCATAGTATTTGGGAACCCAGCAAGCATTGTGGCTTTCATTAGTTTTTAGTAATACCTCCCATGTAGTTGAACATAGCCAACGGTGAGCAATGTAAAAGTACAAGTGCCTGTTGTTTCATCACAATGAGCACAAAGAGCCAGCTCAGTGCTCCATGTGCCTCCAAGTAAAGGGGTCTTACACGACGTGCTAGATTAGCGTGTAAATGGCAGAGGAGTGAACTCAATATTTTGCCCCTCAACAGGACAGTGCAACAGCTTTTTGGAATCAACAAAAGCTCTTTTCTTTGTCTTTGTTAAAGCCAAGAGCAAAAGGTGATATTTTAGGGTGACAAGCAAGGGAAGTAATTAGGAACACAGAGGCGAACTGAAGACAAAGTGACTGCTTATTGGGGGAAGTAGCAAGCGGAAGGGGTAGAAAATATCATTGTTTGGCACAGGTGAAGGCACTAGAAATAGGAAATACAAGACCAGATGCAATGGCACAGTGTGTGTTGTGTGATGTCCAGTCCAGCTGAACATTTAAACTGGGTTTGCGTCTCTCTTACTCAGCCACAAGACACGGGAGTTATGCTCCTCCTCTCCATGCTGGCCATGCCTGTTCTGCTCAAGTAAATAATTAGTTTCCTGGACAGATACGCTCTTCTGCCACCAGTTTGTCTTTCAAGATTGATGCCAATGATAATTCATGTTCTCTAACTTTTTTGTGCTCTGTCTTTGCTGCTTTTTTTCTTTCCAGGGCACCCTGATGTTGAGCAGCCTTGTAAATCTAGTGTCAGAACATGGAGTCCCAACTCGGCAGTCAACCAACACACGGTGCCCCCAGCGTGTCCCGAGCCTCAGGGCTGCTACCTGCAGCTGGAGTTTCGTTATCCTCTGACTCCAGAGTCTCTCACAGTCTGGGTGACATTTGTTTCCCCAGACTGGGACTCCAGTGGAGCGGTGAACGACATCAAGTTGCTCACCATCAGCGGAAAAAACATTTCTCTCGGACCGCAGAACGTCTTCTGCGACATCCCATTGACCATAAAGCTGGATGCGGGACAAGTGGGTGAAGAGGTGTATGGAATCCAGATCTACACTCTGGATGAGCACCTGGAAATTGATGCTGCCATGCTGAGCTCCGTCCCCCACAGCGCGCTGTGTGCAGACTGCAAACCCATCCAGTACAAAGTGGTTCGGGACCCTCCTTTCCAGTCTGGATCTCCAGTTGTCATTTCAAACCTCAGCAGAAGATTCGTTGACATGTAAGTACTGCTTTCCAGAGAACTGAATAGACTTGTTCAGAGAGAAGTGATAACCTGTTCTTCTCATCCTGTTAACGTCCAGCATCGCTATTAATTGTTAGGGTTTTGAACTAGATAGATGTACCAAGAGAAGGATATTCTCATCATTTATCTCTGGAACCAAGAGCATCACACTCAGGTGGAATAGCCTGGGATTTCGCAAATAGTTTTTGAGAAATTTCCTAGCTAGTTGTGCAGAGGCATGAAATTCAGGCTTTCCTTAACTTGAGAGGATATTGCACACTACCTGAGCTATGACAAGTGTTTAAGATAACTAAGTGAGGACCTCTGGAGTAATGTGGTCATAATTTCATAAGAAGTCTTTTGAAAGGAATATTTTGTTAGAGAAAGAGACAGAATGGCATTCAGTTCTGGAGCGTTAATTAGCTGCTAAAGAAAGAATGAAAAAAAATACACTTGCACGTTCAGGTATATAAATATATTTGAGCCGGTTTCATTTTCTGCTTTCCCTGCCACTAAAACAAGCTGTGTTGGAGCAGGATTGTTCTAACACAGCAAACATGCCAAATGCGCTGGTTTGTTGTAGGGACTGAGTTTCATCCCAGATGCGGTTATGCTCATCTAGTCAAGGAACGTGTGACTGTTGAGGGAAGTCCAACTGCAAAATATTTAGCCATTTCAAGGAGATCATCCATGATCTACCCGTAGGCATCCTACAGCAGCAAGAAAAACATCTTTTGCATAACATGGTTCCCTGGAAATGATTCACTCATCTGTGGGAACAACATGAAGCTCTTCTGAAAAATGAACACCAGACAAAAGGAAACCTGCTAAGAAAACTGCCCTCTAATTTAGAAAAGATGATCTAATTAGTACAGCTAATATCAAGGAAGCATACATCATTATGGTCTTCTAAAGCATATTTAAATATAATAAAAATGATTAATTAACAATTCAGTAATCATGAGCTACCATCCCTTTCATGGCCCAATTATACAGCTCAGAAGCAGCAAATTGTCCCTACGGATTTAAAAATTCAAGGTAAATACCGATAGTGAATATAAAAACAGAAACCCAGGACATCACTGAGGTTACTCATGTGCTGAAAGTTAAGCATGTGCTTAAGTGCTTTCTTGGGTTGTAGGCTCGTTCCAAATATTGCTGGCACTTAATGTGAGATGAATATTGGCATATTGGAAACATGGAAAATGGTGAATTTTCCCATGGTTTTGCTGTGAAAGCATCTTTGCCTGAAACCTGGCCCACTCTCATTGGAAAATGGGACTGGTTTGGTTTGAAATATTTGCATACCTTAGCACAAATTCCCACAGAAACAGGTCCAGTTTCGAGTTCATAACAAAATATGAAAGAAAAGAAAAGCCCAAAACGTAACTTGTATTCAGAGTTCTATTCCCCTGCCTTTTATTATGATTTCGTGGGTCACTTCTTGCTTATATGCAGCTGAAGTGAAGGGGTGCTTGAATAATTAAATCAGTAGCCAGGGATTAATGACACTTTCCCTGGGGGTCACTGAATAAATCAGACGGGATATTATTACTGTACCTGTCTGTATGTCTCACCTAGTTATGTAGCCAGCTAAAAATCAGACATAAAATTTAAGTTGATCTTTCTGGGCTGTACCTGTGCTTAGTAGACAGAAGGCGATGCTCCTGGAGGCTGACACAGCCAACCTCTCCAAACCCTCTAGTCTAGCTGGCCGCACGTCGTCAGTGTCTTCCCAGGGACTACAGGGGAAACCCTGCAAGTGTGCTTTGATGAGACACTTGGAAAAATGAAGTCTTTAGTCACTGGATGAAGAACCAAAGATGCAGATTCTTAAGCACATACAGTTGGTTTTGATTCAAGACTTTGGAAGAGCTTGAAATCTTGAAAAGTGAGATTTTTATTTTTTTTTATCCTGGCATGTCCATGTGCACAGCACTGATCTGTATCCTCTGGTGATGGAGGGTCATACAGGTCCGTAGGTTGATGGTGTGTGTCCAGGCTGCTGCTTGGCCATACCTTGCGACGCAGCAAACTCACTGAAACTCTGTGTGGGGTTGTGGTTATGTGGTAGAGGCAAAAGCAAGAAGAATTTTCCAGTAGCACCTTGTGCAACGAGTAGCTACAGTCCTTATGCTCCGTTAGCAGGGAGGGAAGATGCTTCGGGGAAGTGAGGGACAGAGTGCTGGGCGATGGTCTTACGTGTATATATTTGTGTAGAGGTAAATGCAGGCTCTCTCGACCTGTTCGCATCTGTTCTGTACAGCTGGAATTCAACATATCTCTGCAGCCAGACTTTGCAGCCCCTTTATCTCGCTGTGAGCCCCAAGCCAGTTACCCCTCCTTTGTGCTTTTGCATGTTTTCCGTATTAAATAAAACGACACCCCCACATGTTCTACGGAAGGTTATTTTGAAGTCAGTCGCATATCTTTGCTCTTGCCTCCTCTGACCTTGATCTTCACTTTCTTTTTCTCCCAAAGAAAATATTTGCTTGCAGTGTTATCTGTGAGCAAGATCCTTTCCCCAGGTGTGACGATGCTGAAAGAAAAATTAATTTCTCCTACCTTCTTCCCATCAAAGAGAGGGAACTTCTCTTTGAGCTGAGAGGAGAGACAGCCTTTAATAGATAGCCCTTGCCCAGTCAGCACTGGATGCTCCACGGAGGAGAGTAAATAACTGGAGCAGTGGAAACCTTTAATTAAGAAATGCAAAATAATGCCAGACTTTCTGTTCTCTAGCTCAATTTTAATCTCAGCTCTTGGCTCAAGCGGAGTTTAACAAACGTTTCTAAGGGACAGGACCTTATCCTTGGACCTTACAGAAACCAGGGAAGTTTCACTCAATTCCACTGAGTTTGATGAGCCAGAATTGCTGGTATCTGTGATACGAAATGAGAGTCAGAGCCTTGGAAGAGAGCAGAAAGCTAAATACATCAGTGGGGAAAAAAAGAGGTCAGGCCAGGTGCAGCGCAGAACTGCTGAATCTTCACACTGCAGCGGGCGATAAGGAAGGAGCCTCATCTGCAAATCTCAAAGTCTCAGCTCACAATTTAACCCAAAGTTCGAGTGGTGCTCTTACATAGAGGGTTTCACTCTGGCTGTTCTCTAGAAATAACGTGCGAGATAGTCACAATGGTGAGTGTGGTAATTGTTTTGCCCTCGCTTTGCCCTTACTGTAGTGCTTTTACGCTCACATCGGTGCAGGTGGAAAGTAATCGTTACTCTTACAGTTGATTGTAGCAACCACTGATTTTTTTAAGAGGTCAGTGAGAAGAGAGTGCCCACAACGAGACGCTCTCCCGAGGATGTCACAGGTACAGTTAGGTGTCAGTCCCATAGGGACAGTCTGGAGTGAGCAGCCTGTGTTCCCCACTCTCAGTAGCCACCTTTGCGAGCAGTGAGCAGCTGGGTGTGCTGGTGAGATCCACGCTCACCCTTCTGGCCGGCCAAGCCCAGAGACACCAAGGTTAGTTTTGGAAAGTTGTCAGAATAACTGGAGAAGTTTCTTAGAGTTGGAAATTTTCCCAACTTTTCTACCACAAACTTTGTAGGAAACCTCAGAACATTGTGGATGGCGATGGATCAGGTCATCTTTGTGGTGTTAACCTGTTAGGCTTTTTCAAGACAAAGGCGTTAACTGAAATAGCCTTAGAAAGAATCCCAGCATGAAGCCCCGGTACGAGTTTTGGTTTTGCAGAGTGGAACATCACTGAGAAGCAAGTGTACATTTATCTGAGCCGTTCCTACACTGACTAGAGCTTTAGTACCGAAGTGACACCTACAGATACTGCGTTCATGCTTAAAAAAGAAAGAAAAAAAAAAAGAGACTGAGAGAGAAACCTACATTTTCTCACATTTTCTTCTCAGTTTTGGCTATTTTACACCTGCGTTCCATGGCTAAACCTTTTATGTTGCTTGGTAAAAGCTGGAAGGGACTGGTCATCGTATGTGTACAGTTTTTGTTTAAGTTGTTGTTTAAGTTAGTACAATATTTTAAAAGATTCTGTTAGAATCAGGAGTTCCATTCGATGATAAGCTTCCAAACCCCACGTCGTTTACTGTGTTTTAACTCTGCACCTAAGAGTAGAGTGCAGATCTCACGTGGGCTTCTCGGAGTGATTGCAGATTGACTGAGAAATTACCATCAAGATTGCAGGTAGTTGGAGGGCTGCGGTGGCATTGTTCGTGGGTCCTTAGCGTTTCATGTACTTCATCCAAACAACTGTTTCAAAATTTGTTATTGATGCATTTGCCATCCACTGATATCCAATCAGAAGGCAGTATGATGAGTGACTTGTCAGAAACCGTGGATGATGAGTAGCTGGAGATGGAAAACAGTTCTTAGTCTGAATGTATATGAAATATTTGGTAAATTCCTATGAATATGAACAAGCAGGGAGGCTGAAGAATCAGCAGTGGCTATTCATAATGAGCAATAATTCATTACAGCCAATTACTGGTGTGCCTTTTAGCCCCTGTGTTTACATGACACAGGCCCAGCTGAATACAGGGCTGGAAAAATATGAGTATCACAATCATGATATGTAAACCTAAGTCCCTGCTGAATGCAACACTAAAATTTCGTGGCAACATCTGTCCTTGTTCTGGCATTCCTTCCTTCATCTTGAAGATCTATTTCTCTATTTTCTGAAGGTCTACCAGCCAGAGGAATGTATGATCTAAAGCAGCTGAAATGAATTGCCATATCCATCTGTCATGAAGATAATTAACACCATATTTCCATGCAAACAAGATACAGATCACTGGGTGGATGTTCTCCTGACACCAAAAGCTGAAGCCCATACTATCACCAGCTTCCTCTCACCCCTCCTCCGCAGTTACCAAGCCAAACCTCTCTTGATATGCCAGGAAATACTGGGGAGTATCTAAGATAGGACTGAAATGTTAAGAAAGCACTTTACATGCCCAGATTTATCTGCAAGAGCTGCTAAGTTGTCCGTGCAATATTGGCATGCTACACATCTGGATTCCCAACA